GCCACTGACCACTGTCTACACTGTCCCTTTAAAGATGCTCATTATCATTCAATCAAGCACACTTTATCTTAAAAATTTGGCCATCGAATTGGAACTGACAGGAAATTAAAAGCACTTGTTAAATGTACCGTACACGTGTACATTGTGCGTACATTGTCTGACAATGTGACAAGGGTCGGTGTTTACATAGGGAACATACGGGTGCACTGACACTGCCTGGCATTTTCATCATTCGAACATAGGGAATTCAACTTTGAGGAAAAGATCAAGAACAAATGCTTTGATACACAGCAAATTTACAAAACAGGAAGGCTTACATACTGACATAATACCCGCAAAAGAGATCATGCACCTTGACTAAATCATGATGGCATTAATAACATGTACCGGTACATGTGTGTAAGTAATAACAGCAGGTAAAGATGTGAATATGCCTAGATGTACATGTACAACAACGTATACATGTACCGGTACATTGACATGTACATGTACATGTACCGGTATTTGTGTCTCACTGGGTACACATGAACCATGTGCAGTAAATTTACACAAGTGTACATGTACCATGAACATGTACGTAAAAATGTACCGCAGGTACCTGTATTATACACTGATCTCTATTATACTGACTGGATAGCGCTTCGGGCCATGGGGTTGAAGTCACTGGACGCCATTTTGACACTCCCTTTGGCCACGTACCGGTACAATTATACATGTATAATCACGAAATAATTAACATGAGTAAACACTGTGGGCAAAATGAATTAAAAAAAAAACGTGTTTGATGATCCAAGATTGCTTCCTAAACTACTGTAATTCTGTGCTTTTTATATACGGATCTGTGCGTTGTGGGGCTTTGAGGGAGCTTCAAGATGGCCGCCGCGTGTGTGCGAGGGCGTCATGGTCTTGTGTACACGCATAGGTCACAGCGCTATCCAGTCAATATAATAGAGATCAGTGGTATTATATGGGCCACCGCTTGCGCAACTCCTAATCAGAATCACATAAGATTAACATGTAATTGGACTTAGAAATCAAAAGTGGACTCAGAAATCTTTTTTTGGGGGGGGGGGGGGGAAGGGGAAATGGGGGAATTGATTCCCTGTACAGTAGATCTTATTTTCCTATATTCTAACATGTACCGGTACATGTACATGTAATACACTCTAGACATATTTGCAACACATTTGTGTGGTTGCTCATTATGTTTAATGACTTTGCTTTTACTGGTGTGGCGATATAGTAGTAAAATTATATAAACTTGTATACATTTCCAAATACCGTAGCTTCTGTTTTTATGGTTTTTGGCTGGGTAAATCTGATTGATTCTGAGAGGAATTATCACCCTTAATCGGATTGCATCAGAATCGATTCACAGAATCGCTGAACATGTACAACGTTAAAGAGGAAATCTTTTTCCTGTCAGTATTGCCTTTAGTTCATGTTATATGTGTACACGCACTTTACACACATCCCCAAGGTACATGTACACATTCATCTAAATGGACACCATATATGAAATTGACTGCACGCAATCCTCAGTAGGAAGGTAATTTACTCTAGCGATGCGGCGGCTATTCTGGGAAATTTCTGTGAGTTTTATCTCACTTACACTTTGACATTTACAGTTTGTGCAAAAAAAAACACGCTTCTGGCTCTTCTGCCTACATGTAACTTATGCAGTGTACGTAGTTAATGTGTAAAAGAAGAAGGATTTGTAACTTAAAACTCAATCTTGTTTCTCTCCAGAGGTGAATCAAGAGGTACAATGTAGTTCATTGAAAATGAAATGTCAGGTCAGTTCTATAGTGCAATACTGTATGAACTGTTACTTGTAACAAAGGATTCTGAATAAACGTCCCATGCTAATTAAGTTAACCACTGTACCAAAGGCATTTATGATATAAGAACAGCAGGTACCGGTACATGTACATGTAACGCATGCATGCCTTTTATAGTTTTAACACTTAACGGCTGGATTATTTTTGGCCGAAAATCTTTTGAAAAAGACAAAATATATCGGCCAAATTTTACAATCACGTCGAACACCACAAATACTGAATCTAGGAAGTCATTTGTAAATATATGCAAAATATTTGTACAATACTTCTCACTTTAAATTCATTTTTTTGCAACACTCCGAGGCCCCATCACGGAGCGATATTTTTTTACACCAGGCCGTGTACAGCGAACAAGTTCAAGTTCACAACACGGTGTGTACAAAACCAACGGGAACCACTGACGTGTAACTGTGTACATAAACGTCCATCGCCAAAGACTTGGGGAAAGCTTGACGATTTGACCTGTCTCCTGCCCATACGAATATACTTTAACACGTCATCCGGCATTAACTGGTTAACAGGAATTGTTCCCCCCCTCCCCCCACAAGGATGTGACATTTTCACACCCTTATAAATCATTTTTCCGGCCTCGCTTGCTGCGAGCGGGTCGTTGACAGATATTTCCGGCCTCGCTACCTCCGTGTTTATCTGTCATCCGTTCCGAATACCGCAAAACTTTTGCATGTATACACGGCCTCCAGCACGCACTGCTTAAACAGTCACAGACAGTCAAAATTTCCATCCACTTCCCCGATACTTTTCACACAGGCTAGTCACCAGCAGTCAGATCATATGTCAATTGTCAAGCAAGCAGTATGACTAGTCAAATTCAGTCAACAGACCATGAACAGACAAAGCAGGCAAGTTGTGTGCGCAGATGGCTTATCAATCATCCACAGTCAAAGCAAAGCTGTATCAAAAATCAAGTTACATACATGTAAACAGTCACAGCCAGCCAATCTTGCTTTATGTGGGCTGGGAATTCTCAACAGTCACTTGATTGATTTTGACTGAAGGGACAACTTGGCACAGACTGTTTGTTTGCATAGGAGGGTTGTAAGACAAGATAAGTTTGCAGTAGCACCGTGTGAATATATCTCTTTTGTGAGTATGTGTGGTTCTGAAAAGAACCGGACACAGCCAGTAGTGTGTGTCATAGGAGGATTGTACAGACTAGTGTCCATGAACAACTGTTCAATGTACAATGAACGTGTGCAAACTACATTTACCATGTTTACTGAGATTTTCTAATGACCAATTACCAGCTACATGTGGAATGAATGAAGACTCTTTGGCATTTCACATCATAACAACAGGACGGGGAATTAATGAGATGAAATAATCAGAGCTCACGTTAAAGGGAATATACAACATTTGCAAACATCGAAAAATAAAATTACCAAGTTTTTACGAAATACCTTAATAGGATGTTGGTAAATGACAGTCTAAAGCATCCTGTAAAATTATGGCACCTGGTATACTGTCATTTTCAAGAAAAGTGGTATTTTTGTATCAATTTCCAACGCTGATCGGCCGATCAGCGTTGGAAACAACTGGCTTTTTTTCAAATACTGGCCCCAATTGACCATTGCACTTGTTTGCAATCGATTACAAATCTATGAACGGGTACGAGCCAGCTAGACTGGTTCCCTGACCTTACAATTCCCCAATGTATGTAAACTGCTCCGTTTCTTCTTATATGGAGTCAGGGAACCAGACTACAGGAAAATGATCGTTTTTCTTGGTTTTTATAGCATTTTCGAACCCAAAACCTCCAAAAAGTCAGTGTAACTATATTTGCTTTATATTTTCAACCCCCCAATTCCATCCATTTCTGAAAATTACAGCAAAAGCAAATGATGTATATTCCCTTTAAAAGGAAATGACCCATGGGAAGAGATAACATTTCTTTCCCACACTACCATCCACGTATATTATCTCATGCAAATTGGCTGACTGCGCTTTCATGCAAGCGGGTAAAAAAACCCACAAAAAACAACATAACAGCCAAATGCAGCGTATGGTAAATGGACTGGTTTCCTGCCTCCATTCCAAATTGACATTGCCAAGTCAACATCATTAGGACCCAGGCAACAGGTCATTTTGGGATAGTGACTTGGTAATGGGGAGTTCTGCTAATGGGCAAGATTGAACAGAACATGAAAAATCCACTGTATTAGGATAAACTTGTGTAAACTGCACTGAAGTCTTGAATGATGATTGATATGCAAGATTTTAAGGCAACTACATGCATGATAAACATAACTTGTGCATATTACCAAGGAATAATCTGCCCATCAAGAGTGAAAAATATAAATATGAAGAGTACATGTGAAAGTATACATGTACAATGTACATGTATCAAGACTTGCTTTCAAACAGAACACATTGCTGAACATGTTGAAGATTGTAAATGACATGTACAGGTTGAATGTGAACACGTACAAGTGCATGTACATGTATATATCCACATGTAAAAAGAAAACATACTACTGTGTATGTGTACATGCACATAAAGACACATTGTACACCATGTAAAATGATCATGGAATATTTACTGTACATGCTTATCATGTAAACGTGTATTTGTATACATTGTACATATGGTACAGTACATACATTACACAGAGGGTGAAATTACTTGTACAATCAGATCAAGACATTTACCAACAATGCATTGTGATGGACTTGTGATGGGCTTGTGATGGATTTGTGATGGGCTTGTGATGGATTTGTGATGGACTTGTGATGGATTTGTGATGGGCTTGTGATGGATTTGTGATGGACTTGTGATGGACTTGTGATTGACTTGAGATGGACTTGTGATTGATTTGTGATGGACTTGTGATTGACTTGTGATGGGCTTGTGATGGACTTGTGATTGACTTGTGATGGGACTTGTGATTGATTTGAGATGGGCTTGTGATTGACTTGTGATGGACTTGTGATTGACTTGTGATGGGCTTGTGATTGATTTGTGATGGAACTTGTGATTGACTTGTGATGGACTTGTGATGGACTTGTGATTGACTTGTGATGGACTTGAGACAGACTTGTGATGGAACTGATTAAAAACTGCATCCACGCGCCACCGGCTGCTGAATTTATATGAGTGTAGGAGTTCAATGCTGTTCACTTGTGCAATCTGCCGTGACCTACCTTTGAGGAGGGGTAGTCTCTGTAATTCTCTATTCTTGCTGATGTTGAACCGTGAGGAACCTTGTCTCTTCTCTTTCTTGACCAGCGGTCCTGTACCTTTCGACCTTGTCAGCTGTGTTGGAGGTGGTACGTTTGTTGTGCGATGTCTTGTCTATTGTAGAAACAAATACATGTAAAGAACGGCACAGTTCACTGAGGGTCATATTGAAAAAGAAACTCCTTTGTTATAGCTAGGCATGCTTCTTTACCCATGCACAGTTATTTCACATGTAAATTACAATGTATACATGTACAGTATTGTACATATGTATGTAGTATTTTAAGCAGTATTATTACTAATTGTACATACATGTATTATAGTACAAAGCAAATGTCAAGTCTACCAAGTGCTATAAAATTAATGCATTACGGTACATCTACATGTCATAATGTATATTTTGCTTTACAAGTACAGATGACATGTGCGTGTACTTGTTCAAGATGTTTAATGTGTGTGCTGTAATATCACACTACCGGTAACAAGTGAAATACGTCATCAGAGGACCTGATTACATCAGGAGAGGGAAGGTCAGCAAACACTGGCCAACATGGCCCGAGTCCAGCCGTATAATTGTTCCTGAACTTCCTGTGCATCTGTACCATGCAGGCCAGGCTGGAATTGCCAATATGCATACCCATAGACCTACATGTACATGTTCTTGTGTCAGCTGGTGTAAACACTGCATGGGCCATGAGTGCACGGGTACATCAAGTGCATTTATTGTGTACTGTACAAGAGTTCAACAGGTTGTCCATAAATTCTGAACACCGGCATATATACAATTTACAAATTTGAGTGTCCAACAATCAAAACTGAACTTTCGCAATGCAAAATATTTCAGGCAAGGTGTTTAATTTCAAAAGAGGAAGTAGAAATGGCTTTCCTCCATATTCTGTTTACTATGTAGATCTACCAGTATACATCACGTCACATCAGATACCGTATACTTGCTCCCAACCAATACCAGTACATAACGTTAAACAAAATTACCCCGTTTCCTTTTTTAAAAAATTATTATATTCCAGATTTTTATACACAACTTCTCCCAGACTTGTGTAAAAAAAAAAAAATTGCAGACAATCAATGGATGTCTTCATTCACATCACAATCTTCTGGACATTTTTACTTGCAAGTAAATGGGAAAATATCTTAGCAACTGCCAGGAGCGGCTAGCAAAAGCTAAGAGCTAATGACATGAGGGTTTACACAAGGCCCCTAGCTGTGTCTCCACATGGTCTCCAAACATGTTGCATTCAGCGCTACAAGATTGCACTCAAACCGCGCATACCTTCCTCCCCATGCTATCGGCCATCTTATCAACGACTTGGGGGACAAACGCTTGATGTGACAGACAAATTTTGTCCCCTGCGCACACATGGACGCCACTGTGGACTGGTGTAAGGGACCAACATCCCAATGTCTGCGGAGTATTAAATCTGTTTTGTCATTTCTACACTGATTTTTCCCTTGTAAAAATTGGCACTGACGACTAAAGATACATAAACACACTTGAGTAGTGTGTAGAATTGTTTTTCATAATGACATTGTTATTGGAGTAGTAGTTGATGGATATTTACTTGAGACATACACGGTACTTGTATGACATACTTGTATGACTAATGAATTTCTTTTACTTTCGGACTTACAAATACAGCAAAATGCCGCTTTAAGAAACTAACATTTGGCCATAAAGAGCATCCCCTTTCTCATTTAACATTCCTTTTGGCACACGAAATATTAAATTCTACATGTACTATGTATAATGCACAATCGCTATATAACAAACGACCACTATAATACATGTAAACCTTTTATTTTTTACAGAGCACATCGTGTTTGTTATAATGGAGTTCTACTGTACTTTTGTATTTATAACTCAAAAAAAAAAAACGCAACCTCTTTTTTAGTGTATAATTTTGCTGTACAATGTACGTACGTACACGCACATGTAGGTCCTTCCACACAGATTGTGTATGTCCTGCGTTGATTCTATTGACCTTATGCAAAGCAGCCATCTTAGAGGGCATCTTTCGTTATTTTAATTCAGTAACAATGAATGCATAAAAGGTCAGATTATGCATATCCCAGCAAATTAAAAAAAGGCATTACCCTTTAAGATGGTTGCTACGCATAAGGTCTATTGTGACCTGGTGCAAATGTACCGCAGGCATTTTTTGCTAGGAACTTCCTGAATCCGATAATAATCCACTACATGTAATGCATATTGCACAGGAACCCCAATGCACATTATCTGAATTCTGTGTCCCAAGCAATGTGGGATTATGGTAAATTACACATTGTACGTATCTGAGTAAGCACAAGATTTTCAATATTCACATGAGAACAGACATGTCTGCTCAGTTTTGTTCCCAGTTATTGCATGTGTTTTCGGGTCAGCAGAACTTTATTGTACATGTATGTGTTCATTGCGGTCCATCAGTTTTCACTTTTGCTACGTAACTCACTGTACACAATATGACCCTTGATTATAAGACCACATGTACATTGTCCATGTATACTGAACTGTGCAGTCAATTGATGTTGACTTAGTTGCCGGAAATAGGAAAGTGTATGAGCATATGATGTCCATACACATGTGTGAGATTGCTTATTGGTAATGGTATGTGAAGGTGATTAGCTGTTCATTTTCTATCTACATAGTGATATACTGTGATTGGACCAACTCCTGATGCGTCTGTGATTGTTTTGCCAAGTGGTACTGGTAGCCTACTGCCATGATGACAAAAGGTCTTTCCAAATTTCCCAGCTCAATGATTATATTTTCATTAAACCCCGTCTGATTGTATTGCATCTTTGATAATTATCCTACATTGTATTACATGTATGTTAACTTGGCCCCCAAATAATGTTTTTCTTCCTTGTTTTTTTTTTTTAAACGAGTGGACATAATTCAATTTCACACTAGGGAAAGGTGCACAGCAGACTCTTGAGAAAATCGGATGCAGAAAAGTAGAGTCACCCCTGGTTTGGACTGGCATTCTAGAGTCGCGCCGAACTAAATAGATTGAGGAGCGACTCGAGTTGACCCTTAGATTTTTGGTCTCAGACAGGCGAAATTAACACACTGGAGAATTCTATACTAAACAAACAAACAAACACACGAGCAACAAGCCGGCATTGCGCAACACTTTTTGTGGTTTGCTTATGTTTTCGAACACTACCAGCATATCGGACATTGTTTTTCTTGAGCAATTTCTGACCCATAAAATTCAGCGGACAAATCCTAATCCTAATTTGGCCGAAAGGAAGAAAAGAAGGACAGTATAGAACATTGTCATCTATGCTGATGCGAGGAGGAAAAGAGTACTGAACCTCGATTCTTGGCCGCTCTCCTGCTGCTTTCACACCATGTTGCAAATAGCGCGCTAAAACAACCACAAATATTTAATTTGTATGGTGGATTTTGAAATGTTGTACGGTCAATACTTATTCAAATACATTTGCATTGAGTTCGCTCATGACTAGAGCGACGTCTGAATCAAGTCATTCTGCACAACTCTGACAGTCGATCTTTCGCCATCTGGCACGTCTAGTTGCTCCTAATTGTTTCAGACATCAGACTTTTCATGTACTTAATTCAAATCTTGACTTTATTTTGGTTCGGCGCGACTCTGGAACGCCTGTCTGAACCAAGGGTCACAGTAAGAATGAAAAAATTCAAGCATCTAGCATTGTGAGTTTCTAAACCATAACACATTTTATAATAATATTATACATTTTATCTTCAAGCAGACTTGAATCCTTGATCCTGATTGGTCTATCAGTGTGATGTATGCCTAATACCACAAACCCTTATCGCATTCCGCATTTCGCACTATTCCAAGATGCGCACGCTTTTTCTACCGAATTCTGATAACCGCTGAGTTCGTGTACTGCAAGCTCGTTCCATCTTTACCGTGCGTCAAGTTTGCTCGAAGATAAATTCTTTACCACTTGTGGAACACGGAAAATGTTAGTGCGTCTGTGTTTCATTTACCACTCGCACAGATGCACTACATTATTCCATGTTCCACTCATGCTTGTGGGATAATACTAATAATGTACAGCAACTGGAAGCCCAGATGTTACCTCGTCTGGACCATCTATGCCATCTTTACTGGAAGTCTTGTTGTTGCCTCCTGCTGGTTTAGTAGCAGCCTGCAAAAACAGAAACATTACAAATTAAAAAAAATACAGAACACAAAACAGTAACAATGTTCTGTATACACTACAGAAAGAGACAGGATAGAGATCCAAGAGTGATCTAATAATTAATTAAGGACTCAGGAGTGAAGTTAATTTCCTCACAAATGACAGATGCACCGAAAGAAGTTTCATAAAAATCATTTTTGTCACATACAGGAACAGTATGTTTGTCAGCTTGATTTAATATTTGATGGATTAACTTACTGTCCTTATAATTCATAGTACTACTAGAGAAGAAATATATGATCCCTCTTTTGCTTGGACTTCAGTTTAGTTTCATTGCTCTAAGAGAAAGTCAGGCTCTACTGTTGTCATGGTGAAGTGCTGCCAACGACAACCAGGTCATTGACCTTTCCACATGCTATTCCATTCTATTACATGTTCAAAGCATGTACACATGCACATCATACATGTACATGTAGGTACATGTAGGTATCCTTGTCAAAGTCGACATGATTTCAAGTGAGTTCTGGACCCAGCCACTTGTTGTAGGGTACTACACATGACATGGGGTGCGTGTTTGATATAATTAACTGCCTTAATTGGTCTGAATAGGCATTATTGCAGTCCTTCTGTTTTGAGGCGTGCGATCACACCCCCACGCCATCACACGCCTAAAACTAGTAAAAGCTTCCCGAGAAGTGCAAATAATCGCACGTCCTGTGATTTTCAAATCAGAAGGACTGTGTTGCATACCTCTTAAGTGAATTTGTATTACAACAATTATGAGAAGAGAAAAGGGAGATATTGCTCCTTTTTCCTTTCCGATAGTGCTTTGAAGTACGAAACAATACTTGTGATTAAGTCTACTCTAATATTAATAAACGATGCACTGTGATCTTCCGAATTTCCAGCCATATAGATTCAGCTGACTGTCTTACACCATTATTTACTCACACATTCTTACAGTTTGTGTCCATACCAGCTCGCCAAGCATGCAGCGTTAATCTTTGCCTCATTGACAATGGGTCATGGAAATTTCTGTGAATTTTATCAACTGTTAGACCCCGTCTATGCCTACTTTTGTTTTGCGTGTGTTTCTAGAAATTCTACTCCTGGGGTCCCAGTGATAATGCCAGTAGGCCCCAACTCAGTAACTGTATGTTTCCCATAAAAATAAGATACAGGTAGCAGACACATTGCCGGATCCGGCTTTCTTTTAGGAAACGATATTTATCCGGAGAGGTCTAACAGCGCCCTCTTTGGCACGTAGACAAGTAGGCCTACATTACCACCATTGTTCGGGCAGCTCATGTAGCACGGCACGTCTGATATATGACTAGTGAAGGATCCCGGGTTTGATACCCCTAGTCGCGCTCATTCAACATTTTTTGGTTTTGTATAACTAAAAACCCAATCCACATATTGGCCCGGGCAGGATTCGAACCCGGGTCACAGCGGTGGAAGGCAAGGAAAGTAGTACCACTAGGCCAAACCGACTCTCAAATTCGGACTAGTTGGAAAGATTCCCATATCTGGCCATCACTTTTCACCCTGTGCACAAACCGTATGAGACTGGTCTGAACATTTCAGTAAGTGTTTTCTCAGTAAATACTTCAATATTTTCCCTGCTAAATTTGAATTTTTAGGACATATCACTTTCTGATGGCTGATACTGATAGGTCACTGGCATGACTGGTCACTGAAGGGAAAAATGAGTGATGGCTAGCCCCACTTGTGTGGCCTCTGTATTGCTGCGCTGTACAGTGCTGTACGTTCGGCCACACGTCTGGTTTTCCAACCTACTGAGGAGTTTAATCCAAAACTGGCGCACTTATTTTTTGGCATTTTTTTTCTTCATACCACTGCATACGGTTGTATTCTATGATGTCTCATCTTTTGCCCTCCGGGTGGATTAGGTAATCTTTCTTCAAATTTTTTGAGCAATTCAGACATTATCCTGTCCTGGAGTCGTTATGTGCTAGGGTCGGACTAAACTCCTCAGTAGATTGGGAAACCAGACGTGTGGCCGAACGTACAGCACAGCAATACAGAGGCTAGGCCACACATGCACATGACATGTGGGGCTAATAAGTAATAATATTGTTGATGTACCCTAACGTGGCGCGCCCCCTAACGTGGCGCACTTTGATTTTTCGCCTGTAGCGCCTAGCTAGAGCAAAAGTTTTAACTGAAATTTCACAGAAAGTGAAATTTCATCAAGTTATAAACACTCCCGTTCATAAATCGCGAATTTATTTACCCGCTACAAAGTTAAAAGAAAAACTTATTTTGGCGTGATTTTCCGATTTTATTTTCAAGTGCGAAGTGAACCCTTTGAAAATGCCCCGAAAAATAAGAAAATAATTTTGTGACAAACATCTGGCTGGGTATGTAAGTAGAGATAATAATGATTTATCAGAATTTATCAAGTTTTCAGAAATTTTTAAATGTTAATTTGGAATTTCCCGAGATTTATTTAAGTGTGCCACGTTAGGGAACACTCCGCCAAATTGTGCCCAATTTCCGGACGCCACCGTTTTTTAATTTCGGCTTAAATTTTATGAAACCGAAATTGTTCACATAGGTTAAACAGCAAGTATTAATAAGGTAAAAGTACCAGTATTTCACTGCATGAATTTGAGGTTTGTCAACAAAGAGGTTTGGCAACACTACACGAGGAAATTTGGGTATGCTTCGAAGTGCGCCACGTTAGGGTACACCACCATACTAGTGATTGCCAGATATGGGAATCTTTCCCAAAGCCAGATCCGGCTAAATATCCACTTTACTGCCTAAAATTAAGTACAAATAAACTGGCATTATTGCCCTCTTTTGCAGTCTTTCCTTACATTTCTGTCTACAGCCATAAGCTAGTAGTAATATGGCCTTGTACTAGTAGTAGTACAATGTAGTAATAACTATTGCGTACTAAACGCGTGACAAGTGTACATGTACATAATCATGATGGACCATATCAGATGGATTACACTACAGCCTTTGCAACGTACAGTCTAAATGACACTGACAGTACACATGCACCACATTGCATGTAAATTGTAATAAAGGCAACACCTGAACACAGCGACATTCCGGGATCCCAAACGAACTGAACGTCTTTCTCCACCAACGATCGGTGTTCTCAAATAACTCACCTTTTCTTTCTTGGTCTTATTCGGCATGTCTGAGATGTTCTTGGGCTCTTATTTCCTACATTAAGGCGTTCATATTTTTTTGCCGGGAGATCGTGAGCGCAAGACGGTAACGTACATACACACTCAACAAACCAGCACTGTGATAGGTCCGTTAAAACCACGTGACGCCCATCGTTGCTGAAAATGGTCGGTTGGTACTCGGTGCACACGTGCGGCTATCATGCATCGGAAAACCAGCTGATGATGAAAATTCCTCGTTGACATGATGCATCAGATGATGAAGATGCTAGACGAAAGTCTGTCACAGAGGTGGCAGCAAGTCATTTTTTGCAAGTCCAAGTCAAGTCACAAGTTATTGTTTGCAAGTCCAAGTCAAGTCACAAGTCATTAGGTCCAGTCACAAGTCCAGTCACAAGTCATTTGGCATGTTTGGTCAAGTATCTTTGTCCAAGAACACGTCAAGTTGCACATTATTTTGTTCAGCTTTAAAAAAGAACCTGGCGTTAACTTACGAGTTATTTTGAACATGCCTCCTTAATTCCCCTTTTTCAATGTGTTGCAGTTACTATTCTTGTAGTTTATCACATATCCGTCGGATATTAGCCCTTTGTATACTTTAATAAATGTATTTTACATTGTAGAAATAAATGCTGAGATGACATGAAAAAAGACTTCACTCACTCGATTACATGTAGTATACTAACACTTTATTGTTCAATTTCCATGTATACTAAACGCCTATACCAATGGGTTAAGCTATCCAGTATTTTACATGCAATTGACAAAGGCATGCTTTCTTTTCATGAAAGGTTCCTTCAAAGTTTGTTCAACCATTACATTAAGCAAGAGACTTGGTCATTGAAAACTGTAGTTTGTTGTGACAGTCTTATTAAAAACTTTTGAAACTAGTGGGAACTATTCATTTTACTGGATTCAGTCACTGAGGTCTATTTTCTGGAATGAAACTTTCTCGCTGGATCTATAAACTGCATTTATAAACACCATGAGTGGCCTTTTGGGCCTTGTTATGGGCGACTTCAATTTAAAAAAAAATCGAGTAGCGTCTGACTTGGGTTGGTAACAAGTCATTTTTTGCAATCCCAAGTCAAGTCACAAGTCATTGTTTGCAAGTCCAAGTCAAGTCACAAGTCAAAGCTGGTATTTACAAGTCAAGTCACAAGTCACAAAAATAGCGACTCGAGTCCGACTCGAGTCCAAGTCACATGACTCGAGTCAGCAACTCTGGTCTGTCATAGTTCATAATTATTCTGTCATTTTGAATAATGTCTGCCATACGGAGACTAGAAAGCGATCGTCTTAATCCCCTCTGCTTTTTTGAAGTTTCACGTTGTTGGAAAAAAATGAAGATAACGCTGAAAATTGGCACTTGAATCTGAGGCGTACCAATCAAATAGGCCTACCGGCTCCCGGATCTCTCCCCCCCCCCTCAAAAAAAAAAGAGATCTCGAAGATGACCCTGACGTGATTCGAACACGTAACCTTCTGATCTGGAGTCAGACGCGCTACCATTGCGCCACAAGGCCACGATGGTTGCTTCAAGAGAGACAGAATGATGAATCTTTATTTTTATTTTTATATTTTAACCCTAAAAGGGCCGGGTTATTTTGACCACTCAGCCGGGGGGCCGGGGGGGGGGTTGCCTTTAGTCAAGTCCCACGCGCTTACCCGGACACGTAACGCACCCCGGATGCTGGCACGTAAAAAGACTAGCACGAGCGGCGAAGCCGCGAGTGCCTTTACTATCTCGTGGAACTAATCACTTATTCATTTATTCACGTAATATAAATCAAGCAATATAAACCAATCATCTAACGGTGGTTTGCGCCAGACGACGGCTGATTTACGTTAGTAATTCTGCATTTTCATTGGTCAATTCACAACGAGTAATGCATTATGCATGTCTACCAAATCGGTAGACAAATGTAAAGAAAACATAAGCGTTCTCCACGAGATGGTAAAGGCCCTCGCGGCTTCGCCGCTCGTGCTAGTCTAGCATCCGGGGTGCTTTACGTGTCCGGATGGTCCGGGTATAGGCGCGTGGGACTTGACTAAAGGCTAGGGGGGGGGGGGGGGGACGGCCCCAAGATCTCGGCCATCGAGTGACGAAAAACCAGTGAAACTCGGTACATGCATAGAGCAACTCTTCATGAACATACCTAAGAAATTTCATAACTATAGGTCAAAGGGTTTTGGAATTATGGCTAATTACTTATATGTGCGAATGCCAATTCTGCTCTGTGTACACGACGTATATGGGAAAATCCAGTTTTCACGGCGCATTGCGCCGGAATTTTTTTATTTTAGTCCGATTTTTATTTTTTTGATATCAAAAGATGCGCAAGGCTCGAGGCTAAAAAGTCCTAACAGCTCGGGTCGCGAAAAAAAAAATCAAGGCTATCGCGGAAAAAGTTGAGGGGGGGGGGGCGGATTCCGCCCAGCCCTTTTAGGGTTAAGTTATGTCTTAGGCCTACTCAGCTGGAATAGCTAGGAATTTGAAGTTCTTAAAGCGCATAACTAGCCATATACATGTAGTTCGTACTAAGTTACACGTGATCAATCAGTATAATTGATATGTCCGGCGGCCGTTTCCGAAAAACGAGAATAGTCGGACGGGCTAGTCCCTACTTAGGCCTATCATGAGCCGATTCGAACCACTGAACGGGCAACCACGCACCAAAGACTTAAGCACCGCAAACTCTACCCGATAAACTGTACCCGTTGGGAAACAGCCCCGGAGATGGCGCGCATTTCTAAGGAATAGCTCTGATAAAAGCGAGACTCTTCTGCTTTCAAATTTCATGTATAAGTGTTTGGGGTAGTTTGTGAGATCGTCATTCTGTTCAGGCATCCCGGTGAGAAGGTTGTCACTGTTAGCTATCCTACTGAACCGTGACACTCTGACGATCCGGGCAACTGGGGTAGGGCTGAAGGGGCTGTATAGTTCCTTTCCCTTCCCTGCTTTAGTCCGATCAACCATATACCACTCTCTTTCCCCTTATAGTCCCCCTTTTCCCCACTGTTTATCCCCTTCCCCCCCCTCCCGAGCCGAATCGCTGACAAACAGCGTGTCAGATGGTTTCGACGGCATTACAGAACAGTGTCCCGGCCCCCAGGCTCCGGTTTCCATGATTCGGCCACCCCCTCCACTCCCCATTTATATACTGGATATTTAATGGTTAAAATAAATCGATTAAAAATGAAAGACATAATCGAAACACAGCATAGCAATTAAATCATAATGTTGTGCCTCCATAATATCAATTTCGGAGTCCTTATTCACCTGTAGGGCTTAGCCCTATCCCTTTCCCCGACCCGGAAAAAAAACAGGATTGACCTCGGCGTGATTCGAACACGCAACCTTCTGATCTGGAGTCAGACGCGCTACCATTGCGCCACGAGGCCTCACGAATGTTAAAAAACCCACAATGGATGAATTCTAAAGCGGCTGGGCACATTATTATGAACTAAGTTGTGCGAGCTAGTTAAAGGGTTCATGCGTTGAATTTCTCTCAGGAATACATTTTGTGCGACTTCCCACTCCTCTTAAAATGAATGGTAACTATTTTGACATCTCATAATTTTGGTTTATTTTATTTTATTGAAAAGTGCACTTCTTTAAACATTTAAAATTGTCCAGGCTTTTCCGAACAACAGAAGGCTCTGTTGCTGTGATGTCATTTCAGGAATTAAGACACTGTTCAGTTTAGGGTTTTTTTCCTGTTCAAATTAATAGTGAACCCAAAATTTGCTCATTGAAAACATTTGTATCGGCGTACTGCCAATGTATTTACACAACAAAGAATCACCAAAGAAAAGAAATTTTATGACAGCAAAAGATTCCAAATTCTTGCAACCTTTGGTGCTGAAATAGCTGTAACATTGCGGTTTCTGTCGCATGCCCGGAATGACACACACAGTTTTGCTCATGACTGTAGCTAAATTCGGATTAGCATAAACCAAAAAGGTACCAAAATACCCTTGAAAGTGGCAAAATGAAAATTGAAAATAAGGTTAAATGGGACACAAAATGTGCAGTTTCAAGGATAGCATTAAACAAAATTACATTGCATGCACCCTTTAACTTCACTCGAACGAGGATGGTTGGAATGAGTCGACCATTTGAAACTGGACCCCGTTTACTTGGACATGCGCACAACAAATATCTATCAGGTGGATATAATATTTTTTAGCTCTGGCAGGAGCTTTGAAACACTATCTGATTTCCACATGTACACGCTACCATAATTCGGCCCAATATCTCAATTGGCGAATTTTTACCGGGGATTTCAGAATTTTTTTTCCAAAGCGATATTCTATGAAAATAGCGCATTCTGGTCCGTGTTATAATGACATCCGTCCATCCGTTTCATTGTGAATTATTGTGTCCAACTCTCCTTAAATTTCCTGAATATTATCGCATTTAGGGTAATATAGTTCACGTTGGATTTGTGTGATTATCGCATGCATCTCTCTGAAAAAAAAAGATAATGTATTTTCCCATCTGACGTCACTACGAATTAATTTTGTCTATACCCTGGACGTCCCATACAAAAACTAAATATTGACTCGCAGTATTGTAAAGGCACCCGACTTTTCGTGCCGCCTAATTGTTATATACAAATCTTTGGATATGCAAAATGTCCAATATTATGGTGCGAGAGCAGCTAGTGGAAGTGTACTGCTCGATGCCATGGGGACGAGATTGATTGTGACTTGAATTAAATGCGCATGCGTCGGAAGTGATACGCTTCCCTCTCACATCTTGAAAACCATACGTAATGTACATTGAGATCTGCCATTCTTCGATACAGTTTTATAGCACTGTAACCAGGCGCGGATCCATAGAAATTCATGATTAAAATGCGAACCGCACCCCCCCCCCCCCCCCGCTCTGACACCCAAACATTTTGTACAGGTAATAATGTCCGCTTTTGCACAAAATACGGACAGAGCTAGCTGGGTCCTGGGGTATATGTAGACTATTCTGTGTTATATAGGCCTATAGTGTTAATAATCGTAGGATTTAAACAGCGCCCCCATTGAAAGTATGGTACGAGTGTCCGGAAAAAACCCTGCCTATATTTCAGATTTTTTTGCCCATGAAAACCCCCCTGCAAAAATTCCTGGGTCCGC